AACTAAACATGCTGATGTGTGATTATATCCTGCGATTATTGCCCCAATATGCAAACATGTGTAAAAGCCAAAATAAAAAAGGGGGGAGGCGGCCAAAATTTGTTTTGCTTGGGGCGGCAGAAAACCTAGAGCCGGCCCTGCTTAGGGCCCAGATTAGGAGACGGGTGCCGTAACCATTACTCTGATCTGGGGGGAGGAGGTTAAGTCTAGGACGGTAGAGGGAGCCTTGGAGTAGGGATGTAAAATATTAACCGGTTAGCCGGTAAGCATTAGTCTTACCGGTTAACCCGCCTTAACCGTTAACCCCCGGGCCAGCCAACTGGCCGGCCCCAGCGGCCCCGCCCGGAGCAGCCCCAGACTCACCGGCCCCGGCCAGAGTAGCTCCAGCCCCAGCCGCACTGGCCAGATCGACCCCAGCCACACCAGCTGGCCCTTTCATTGGTTAACCGTTTAAACAAAATATTTCTTAATCGTTTAAACAGTTAACTTTTTACGGTATTTACATCCCTACCTTGGAGTAAGCAAAATTGGTGATTTAGGATTGAGGGGACACGTCTACAGCGGATAAAAGCCCAATGGCATAGCTGCGGCTGGCTTGGGTCCGCTGACTTGGGCTCCCACAGCTCAGGCTGCAGTGCTAATGATTGCCGTGTAGACATTCAGGTTCGGACTGGAGCCGGAACTCCTCTGGGACCCTCAAGCCGTAGTCCAAATGTCCACACAGCAATTTTTCAGCTCCAGAGCCCAAGCCCCAGGAGCATGAGTCAGCTGATCCAGGCCAACCCTGGGTTTTTATCCCTGTGTAGACATACCCTTTGTTACGTGTGTCAGAGAGGCCAGACTGAAGCCAGCAGTCTGCATTTGTAGCAACCAGATCAAAGAAAAAGACATTGAGGTTTAAAATACTAAAAGGAGAGAAAAGAAAATACATAATTGCTTCAAATTCTTTTAATCTACCACATTTATAAAATGAGACTACACAGACCATATAGCTATTCCTTGTCAGGATAATGCACAGAGACGACATAGCAACAAAGGCCAATATCGAATAGTCTGAGTTATTTACAAGTGTGTCCATTCTAGATTAAACTGATCGTACTTTCTCCTTGGCTCTGCCAGCAGGGCCCTTACATAGTCATTTGACTAATACAGGTTCGAGCCCTGCCTCTGACTTTCCCTGAAAATGTGTCTGTTAATTGGCATGGGGACCTGCTGAGATATAAGCATCACACCCTGTAGGAAATAGCTAGATAAAAGGGCTACATTTAACAAAGTCAACGTACTTCTTCAAGAGGAATGTCACGATTACCCATGTGGACTGTGCTGTCTGTTCTCTGAGCCACGAAGACATGCTTGACACTTGGACAATTCTTTACAGCTTCATCCACAGTCTTCTTCAGCTCTACAACTCGTCCTCCCCTGACTCCCTGGTTGTAGGTAATGACAGCTTTGCAGCCAGCTAACAAGAGAGAGATTTTGCAGACCTATCAGTTTGTTTCTCACTACCGTCACCCTGTGTCACACATAGGGATGTTAAGTAGCATATTACAATGGAGAAATTCTATCAGACGGTAACAGCTGACAAATCCTCCTTGTAATACACTGAAGGCAGGATGGCCTTTGCAATCTCTAAGGTAGAGGAGGAGAATTAGGGCCTGATCCGAAGCCTACTAAAATCAATGAATCTTTTCACTGATTTGAACAGGAATTGGATCAGGTCTCTTAGTGAGTAAACACCATCTTCTTCCACACAGCTCTCATACCTTTTCTATGGAGTAGATATTACAGCCCCTTCAAATCTTCCATTAAACCCCAATCCCAAGCAAATTCAGTGTCCTTTGTTTTGTTTGTTGTTGTTGTTTTTAGAGATGCCAGTGGATTTCTAGCACCCAGTTAGCTCATGTGGGGTTTTCAGGATTTCCGGATTTTCCTGGGAGCCATATCACAACTGTACCAATTCAAAATAGCACTTCAAATTGCAACACACATTTCATGCTATGTTATTTATGGAGCAGATATATAGCTGTATAATAAAAGAATGTTTACCCATAACCCCTACAGTAGTTACCAGAGATAAGAGAGAAGCCAAAACCTTTACCTGCCCCACCTAGATTACCTTCCATTCAAAATACTCTGAGACTTAATTCCTCATGCTAGTCATACAGAAAGATGACTTTTTAAAAGATGCATTTGTAATAATCATAGCACCTAATGTTATGTATTAAACCTCTGCCTTTTGATACTTTGTTTCTGTGTTGTCGATCACTGGTTTATCGAATTATATTATAAGCTCTTTGTGTAGCAACTGTCTCTATATGTCTATACCATGATTAGCACAATGGGGCCCTGCTCTTTAATTGGGGCCGTTAGGCACTTCAAAAAGACAAATAAATAATTATACGCTACAGAGTTAGCACTTCACAAGAATGCACTAGGAAACTGTCACTTCACTGTAAGAGAACATAACCAGCCTCCCCTTCCCCCCAAGAAGTCTCAGTTTTCCCTACGGTTTAAACATTATTTGACAGCAATTTAAAACTGATTGAATGTTACAGTGATTTTAAAAGCTTATTAAACCCACAGGCGTTCATGCCAATCAGGAACACAGAGAGTCAATGCAGTGATAGTACTCTGATGCTTCTGCTAAGGAGAGAACTGAACTTCCCAGTAAGATGAGAATAAGCCAACCATATTCTGGGTGTGCCTTTCTTTGAAAGCTGAATGTTGAATCTGGATCAAAGGATCAATCCTCCAAGGAGCAGAGCACTTTCCTAATATGCTTGTTCATCATTTTAAAACTACTTACAATCAATGATCCTCCCAGCTAAAGATTCGGCACTGAATCCAGCAAAGACCACTGTATGAATAGCACCAATTCTGGCACAAGCCAACATGGCAGCCACAGCCAGTGGAGTCACAGGCATATAGATTGCAACTCTGTCCCCTTTTTGTACTCCATATTTCTTCAGTGTGTTGGCAAGACGGCAGGTCATGTCCAGAAGTTCCCTGCAGCATAGAAAGACAGTTTCTTGTCATTTTCACCTGCAAGCTGCTTTACATTCACATACTCATAATGAAAGATTTAGGTCTACACAGAACAAACGTATGAACCTGAACCCAGAAGGTCATGATGGGCAACGGCTCATCCACCTTCAAAGCTCTTATCTGTATAGTCCCACAAAGTTCAATCTTCTCCACCATACTTTCCAACTTCTCTGGGGATGGCTATGCCACATGGGAAGACGTGATTGTATCATGGGTAGGCATACCCAAGCTAACTTTATATCTAGCTAGCCCAGGTAATAACAGTCATAAAGGTGGTGGCATGGACTTCAGCGGAGGCTAGCAACCCCACCGAGTAGGTACCCAGGGTCCCCGGCTGGCTTGTACTCGGGCAGCCAGCTTGTGCTGAAGCCCATGCCACCCTGTCTTCACTCCAATTGTTACCTGTGCTATCTGGATTAACACCAGGAGAGGTACGCCTACCTGTGCCACAATCACATCTTTGCTTGCAGTATAGACATACCCTATATGAGGCCACTGGGGAGCTGGTGATATAGCACAGGCTGAAGTGCCAGCAGTTTTCAGTCCATGCCCAGATCTGTATCTCCTTTATATTTGATGTAAACAGTGCAATCTCCCAGCTTTCTCAGCTCCTAGCCAAAATCAACACTTGCACATAACCAATGCAGCACTCAGAAGAGAAGCTGAGGAGACAGCCACAAAATAATGAAGAGGAGGCTATTCAGAGAAATGTGGAGGCAAGAAATGGATTGCTCTTGTGATCACAGGGTTCATACGGACACAGATTATCTTTAAGGATAGGGTAACATATTTAGATTTACAGATTTTAAGGCCAGAAGGGACCATCATGATCATCTTAGTCTGACCTCCTGCACATCAAGCTACTAGAATTTTAATCAAGCTCATATGATTTTATATGAATTTTGGTTTATGCTAGTTCACTTTTCCAAGCTGTCCACTCATTTCTCAATCCAATTCACCATCTGGTAAGATAATGATTTTTTTAAAAAAACAATTGTTTGCCGAGCAGCTAAATTTAGTCCCCACTAGCATCTGCTATTCTCACAAACACCTTCCATTTTCTGCAGAGGCAGAACACCTGGCCATGTGACTTAGGAGAGACACTCCCAGAACAAGCTGCCTTAGTCTTCAACATTTCAGGCTGCCTCCATCTCTCTAGAGAGTGCACAGCAGCCCTTCAATGAAGTTCACTGGACATGCTTTCATCAGAGAAAGCATTATTGTATACTGTCTTTAATCCAGGTGGGCATCTGTACTGGTGATAAACAGGGCCGGCTCCATTTTTTTTGCCGCCCCAAACAGGCGAAGCGAAAAAAAGATAAAGCCGCGATAGGCAGGACTTCAGCGGCAGCTCCACCGTGCCGCTTCATTCTTTGGCGGCAATTCGGCGGCGGGTCCTTCGCTCCGAGAGGGACTCGCCGCAGAATTGCCGCCAAAGACCCGGACACGCTGCCCCTTTCCATTGGCCGCCCCAAGCACCTGCTTCTTTAGCTGGTGCCTGGAGCCGGCCCTGGTGATAAAGTCAATGGGAGCTGCATATGCAGATTAAGTATATGCTCCTAAGCATCCAAACTGCATTAAGAGACAACAGAATGTGAGTAGTTTTCAAAATCACCTCAGGGAAGCAGAGACTTAATTGCAACAAAAACAAAAGTTGAAACTCCTCTGTCTGTATAGGGGAGCATACTGATAAAGTAGAGACGCTTCAGAGAAGAGCCATGAGAATGATTAAAGGATTAGAGAACATGCCTATAGTGACAGACTCAAAGAGCTCAATCTGTTTATTTTAACAAATAGAAGATTAAGGGATGACTTGATTGCCGTCTATAGGGAGCTACCTGGGGAACAAATATTTAATAATGGGCTCTTCAATCTACCAGAGAAAGTTCTAACGTGATTCAATGGCTGGAAGTTGAAGCTAGACACATTCAGAGTGGAAATAAGGAATACATTTTTAATGGTGAGAGTAACAATGGAGTGGACAGTGAGTAACAGTGGAACAATTTACCCAGGGTTGTGGTGGATTCTCCATCACTGACAATTTTTAAAACAAGACTGAATGATTTTTTCTAAAAGATCTGCTCTAGTGATTATTTTGGTGCAGTTCTCTGGCCTGTGTTATACAAGAGGTGAGACTAGATGATCACAATGGTCCCTTCTGGCCTTTGAATAGATGAATGAACCTATGAATAACGTTAGTGGAACAATGTAGGTGGCAGTAGAATGGACAGTAATGTGTCTTTGTGTTTTGCCAGGCTGCCTAAGCCAGTGGTCTCCAAAGAGGATCCTTGGGGGTGCACGGCAGCAGGAGCACTTTTTTTTTTTTTGCTTCGACACGGCAGGGGGTGCGTGCTCAAAAATTTTTACTGATGGGGTGCGCGATCCAAAAAGTTTGGAGACCACTGGCCTAAGCAATGCAGAATTGCAGTAGCTGCATGCCTATTACAATACTTGTCTCCTCATAATAATGGCCTGATTTTCAGAGCTGCTGAGCAGCACAGCTCTCGTTTACTTCAGTGGAAGCTCTGGCTGCTCAAAACCTCTGAAAATCAGGCCATACATTCACTTAAACAACTTTGGCATCTTGAAGCAGAACTGCAGTAACTACTCGATGTTTCAGAAATGTCTAAGATGCAAGGATAAACACTGCATTTATTTTACATGTATGAGAGCAGAGGCAGAGTGAAATATGCCCAAGAGACTAGTCTGAACAGTATATTTTACAAGAATGTGATCAACAACTGGGTCATGCGCCTTACAATGTATAATTTCATTACAGTATGACATTATTTGGAATGGTGTTACAGGGGGTCATTGTCACAAGAACCAAACCACAATCCAGTTCCTTGTAGAAAGAAACCCAAAAGCACTGAATAAGAACAAATGGACTATTCACACTGCTTGTCCATGTGACACATTGGGTTAATGGCAGAAATGTTCCTCTAACAAACAAAAAAAAGACAGCACTGTGCACTTCACAGATTGCAATTTCTCATACATTTCCTTCAACATCTGTATTGTGGAAAATATAAATATAAATATAAATAATGGAGATACCCCATCTCCTAGAACTGGAAGGGACCTTGAAAGGTCATCGAGTCCAGCCCCCTGCCTTTCACTAGCAGGACTAAGTACTGATTTTGCCCCAGATCCCTAAGTGGCCCCCTCAAGGATTGAACTCACAACCCTGGGTTTAGCAGGCCAATGCTCAAACCACTGAGCTATCCCTCCCCCCTAAAATCAAATTCTATCCTATCTCCTAGAACTGGAAGGGACCTTGAAAGGTCATCGAGTCCAGCCCCCTGCCTTTCACTAGCAGGACTAAGTACTGATTTTGCCCCAGATCCCTAAGTGGCCCCCTCAAGGATTGAACTCACAACCCTGGGTTTAGCAGGCCAATGCTCAAACCACTGAGCTATCCCTCCCCCCTAAAATGGATACAGACCAGAACTGCCGTTTCACAAACAAAACAGGTCTAAGCATGGTTTAGTGCTTGGACTGAAGAACTCCAAGAGCAACCCAGATTGCTCCAGGATATGGTATTGGTAAAGGTGCTAGCATGAGCCAAGTAGCCAGAGGGGTAGTGAAAGCTCTGGGGCCCCGTGAAGGCACCAGGAGCTTCAAGCTGCTGATGCCACCACAGCCCTGAGGCATGGCAGGGAGATCACATGTGAGGAAAACTCTCTCCTAGGTTCTGAAATTCATTGGATCTTGGTGTCTGTGGTGTAAAATATCTTATCTCCCCTAGCACCACACTGGTACATTGGGGTCAGTACTGACTCAGACAGGAAAGTACCCTCTAGTAACTCACCCACCCCCATCTCTGCAGCACAGTGCCCTCTATCACCACATTAGGTCCAGGG